TTTGAATTTTTAAACGCCGATTACGGCGAAACTAAAGAAGATAGCCCAATGTGGTTGGTAAATTCGTAATCAGCGCGTCAAAATCTATCGGATAAGATAGATTTAAATCAAATCTGAGACATGTTCAAAAACACAATTTTTTAAGTTTTTACTTTTTATTGTTTTGTAAATTGCGGCAAAACTGTGCCTCAATGATATAATACTTTGACCTAAAACTATGTAAAATGTTCCGGGGAATCGATTGGCGTCAATTAAACTGCAAAATTCGTAGTAGTTTTGAAGTTATAGTCGGATTTATATTTTCCATACTTTTGATTTTATCACAAATTTTCTCGATAACTATCTATCGTAGAACACTGATCTTTTTTTTATATGATAGAAAATTAAATTTTCTATCCAACGGTATCAAATATGAGAGGTTATCTCTAATAAGTCCGGAGTTATTGCCATTAGACCGCTCCGGGTGCTAAAAATCGTCCAAAATCTCGACAAAAATCAAAAAAAAAACTATCTTTACAATTGATCTATTTTACGTTTTTTACACTTCTAGAGGTGTTAAAGACTCAAATAAGTGCATAAAACGACATTGGGTCAAGTTTAAAAAATTTCGAATTTTTAAAGTTTTTGAAGGTGAGTGGTAGTAAAATCGTAAAAATAGTCATTTTCAAAAAATCACCAGATCTGGTGAAATTTTATCAGACATGACAACACTAAAAAATTAAAATTAATAGCATTTAGAGGATGATTCGTAGAAAAAACGTAGCTTGTATCTCGTGCGTCTTCACGGAGTGCGCGATTCTCTTTGAGGGCGTCGCGACGCCGTCGGCCAGGTGACCGTTTTGACGCTCAGTACAGACCCAACGTCCTCCGGCCACACATTGCACCGACGGCGGCGGCGGCGGCGGCGCCCAAATAATGCCTCTCGCTTGTGAACAAACAAATACATTTTAAAACGTGCGTCGTTTTTATTTGTTTCGCAGCTACATCTATCATCAAAAAATCTCATTAAACGGTGAGTTTTCATGTTACACAATCGCTTAATATTATCGAATATCAATAAGTTTATTATTTGAGGGAATTACGACAATTATTACATGAAAATCGATGCTCAAATAACAAACAAATAAGGGAGAAAAATGTTGTTATTTCAGTCCCCCAAAATTATTTCCTTTCAAATAAAATAATCGAAAATGTCATGTCAATATCTCTTATTCTTGAATGGGGAAAATTAGAAGTGATGTAGGCACGAATCGAATATTTTAATAACAAAATGGGTCTGGTTTGGTGATAAATATGTTAAATTTTTACCTTTTCTGGATATAAATAACCAACGTCGCACAAATGCATTACTTTGGACTCGAAGGGATAATAAAAAGAGATGTTTACTAAAGTTCCAATTTCTTAAGAAATTTGCTTTTAAATTATTCAGATTTTGGGCCACGCACACGATGAAATTTAAGGTGTGTGTGAGAGATATTGCTGTATGAAAATTGCATACGAACTGCTCTTAAATCATGAATTTTATTTTTGGGATGACAGACGAACCAGGTGTGTAAATCGATGCAAAGTCGCTGTTTAAAGTTTTATATTTTGCATAAAGGATTTACATTTGTTTTGTTTGTGGAAAAATGGATTAGGGGAATGGAAAAATAACGATAAAATCCTATTCATTTCGTATATTTTACTCTAATACAGAAGATGATGATTTTTAACAAAACAGAAAAATATTGCTGTATGAATTTTTTCCGAAATCGCAAGTTTGGTCAAAATTTGTACAAAACTATTTCTGGAGGTTTGATTTTTATTGTTATTGATGCAAAAAATTGTAGGAAAAAACACCATAATGAGCTACTTTAGTGCTGATTTAGAAAAATTAGTTAATTAAAGTGAAAGAAGAAAATTATTTTAAACTAATTCTTTTCGTTTAAATTAATATCAAACTAATTAAAAAGCAGAATAAACTTAATACCTGGACTAGACTCTAATTAGCTAAGTCATAAAATGGAATCTTTATTATGTCGCTTTGTTAAAATATTAAACACCGTCATTCATAATAATAAAAAAAACTGCATTAAAAAGATATTGTAATTTTAGAGAATTGTTGAATAAATTAGTTGGTTTGTAAATAAACAAAAATACGTAAAAATATGGTGCAATATTTGTCAAAAACATTAAAATTTTGTTAAAAAATAATGTCTTTCTGAAAACGTCTATAAGGGAACAAGATAGTCTGTAAAGTAAGATTTTTCTGGACTCATATGTCATTAATTGAGATTGTTTGTAAAGTTCACTAGATTATCTGTAAATTGTGATGGTTGCATTACGATTAGAAAAAACATAATGTAAATTTTAGCAAAAATGATTAATAAAAAAACTGAATTAATAAAATAAAAAATTGCACGTTTAAGTCACAATTTGGTTACAAATAACTTTTTTTGGTAATAAAACTACTCATATATGGTAAAGTCGGGAAATATGAAGATAAAGATGGGATTTTACATATCAGAAATATATTAATTTTTTACGTATTTAAAAAATGATTTTTTTTGTCAAAATTTTAGAGTAGGTTTATTAAAATGTAGCCAATCTTGCCCGGACTTACCCTATGTTGTGAGGTAAGAATTTGTAAATTTTTTTTTACTTTAAAATTTTAATAGTAAGTAATTTTTGTTTCTTTCTGTACATTTAAGAATATTTTTTAATAAACAATTTACTAAAAACACTAAATTATTGCTCAAATAAAGCAAAAAGCACTACTTAATAGAGTTTAAAATGCATTATTTTTGTTTATTTTAATGTATTTGGAGCGTCTGTCAAAGAGAAACTCATTAAAATCGAAAAATTTTACTAAGCCAAAGCAAAAAATTGCAAAAAT